TGCATCTATAAGAGCTAGGCAGTTAATTAAAAATGAACAAAAATCACAGTCAGAATCTGACATAATTTTGCACTTGCACTTATTTATTTTTTTAAACTTCTGTTAATACTTCCCCCACATTGTATTCACATACTGTCCTCTTAAAAAAAAAACATACCATCACCTGTGATTTCACATGACTCCGTGTGAACGCATTTTGGATTTAGGAAAGCAGACATCAGACATAGTACGGTGGTTTACACATTTGCCCAACAAGCAAAAGATCCTCTGTTCAATCCCAGGAGGACACAAATCCTTAAGGATTGTGTCAAAAACAGCATCTGGTGTTTTAAATTGTATTTTATTATTATATTTAATAATACAAATAAACATATCTGCTAAATCAAGCATGTGTAGGAACTTGCTGTTTGAACATTTGACCACAATCACCCCCCCCCCCCCCCCAAAAAAAAAAAAAACTTTAATAATACTGCATATTTACAGTACAGTGCAATAGTAAGTTAAACTAAAGATGCAGCCAAATGATTTAACGGCAAACAAATGAGCGATGACTTGAGTTCAACATTATTCCACAGTCAGTCTCAAAACTCCACTAGAAGACTTTTTAACCTGCTTACAGGTCAAAGTCTTTTTTTAAAAAACTATACTGTTTGGGCTTATAGACTTTCTTTAACAGGATAGTAGGCAAGACGCACAGTAAACGGCCTGAGGGCGGATTTGAACTTGGGCCTTACAGCACATGGGTCACCTGCAAAACTCAGTAAGCTAAACCAGCAGCCCAACAAAAAGAACAAAAGCAGCATGCACATAAATAAAAACATTTTCCGATTTCTTTACGTTTTAATTTATTATTGGTTTTATATGAGTGGTACAAACATTTGTGCTAGAGCAGCCAGGTTAAAACCACCCATATCTGGAACTTGACAGGTATGATTGCCTGGTCAAAAACAGCAGCACTGTTGCAAAATTAACAACTTTTCATTCCCTCTTTAGCGCCTAAAACAAAGTAGAGCATACTCAACTGTCTGCAGCAGTACTCGTGAATGAGCCCTGTGCACATGCATAGTGTTACCCATATAGAAGCTCTGTACTACCTCATGTTAAAAAAAATAAATACATTGATTATTTAACCTACATATGTAGTTGAACTCACAGCACAGACATGGTCTCTAACTGAACACCTCCGTCAGCTCAGACTAATGCAGCTTGATTCCATAAAACATGTGCACAGATAAACACAGCTGTATTTTAATCTGCACTAAATGTGCCATCAGCTTCAAATAAGCACCAAGCCATCATTGTGTCACATACAAAAGTATACAAAACAAACTTCTATTTTCAGCTAGTGCACGACTTAATATAATGTGAGAACTTGGTCAAATACACAAATAACCTACCAAAGCAGTACTATGGAAGAACCTGAACATGTTCAGGACTATGGAGTGTGGCTCCGCCCTGCACAGATAGCCACAAGTTGGCCACTTCTCTATTGTCAGATATTGGCATACTCTTAATACCATGGTATTTAGAGTACCTCATTCATGCAGGGGCGTATGACATCATTGCACACAACCTTGCCAACAACTGAACTGACCTGCAGTTGCTCAAAACAGTATTATGTATTATGTTAATACTATTAACATTTTTATAGCATTCGGACATTCTTGTGAAGTACCTGTACTTGCAGTACATTTAATTTACTGGAGGGAGGGCAGGAAGAAAAATTCTTGAATGTTTTTTACAATACAGCAGGAAGATTTATTTCTGTCATTTATATTCTGTTTCAAATAATATCACCAGCCTTTATGAAAGTGATCCTAGAGCTCAGGCTTCGGACTGCTCTATATGCTCAATTCTAAACATTTTTGTCACAGTCTTTCTGCTGCCGATGTGTCAGAACGGGGGATATTCCTTAATATGGCTATCATAGCCAAACCTGTTGTTCTAACATTCTGCAAGCCATTCAGAAGAAAGATCCCTTAAAGGGAGGGTTAGGTTGGAGGTACTATTACTTGTTTCAGACTAAACAATTCTCAAGATAAGATAAATAAGGACAATCATGACCTGCGATACATGCAAAGCTACCTCTTACAGCCCAAGAACAAACATATGGAACTGGAATCAGCATAACAGACCCACTTTTGGCATTATTCATCATAAGACCAAATAGTTTGTGGACACATTTTTACTCACTCCGTGGAAATACAAAAAGCTCTAATAGAGACAATCACTCATTACATGGCTGTGAAAGATGGGGCTGGAATTACTGACTGATAACGCATGGTCTTTTTAGTAGCTGTGGGTACTGAGTGATTTGACGCTAGAGCAACCTTAATGCGAGGCAACAATGAGCTTCAATGGCCAATATCTCAGTTCAGGTCTACAGTTATCTAAACAAATGTCCTACAAAGACTTAGTGGCAGAAGTGTGGGATTCAGCTTCCAAGTGTAGCATGAATGGTGGCTGCTTTCTATCCTGCGTCCATGCTAATGACTCAAACAGTATGTAACAGTCAAACAGCATGTTAAATGTCTGCAACTAGCATTATTTAAGTTAATCCCTGTGGGAAAGAGCTGTCCTCTGTAAATGACCTTAACCATTTCAGAGCCGCAGCACAGCCAGCGCCTCAGACGCAACAGAAGAAGCATCCAAATATCTAGCTTTCACATGAGTGTGTGTGGACTGAGGAGAGCACATGAACTCCACCCAAAAAGCCATCAGCCACCCCACTCGAAGACCCTCCTTGCTGTAAGCATTTTGCCAACCGTCGCACTTAAGACAGAAAAAAAGCACACACCAAAGCTGAAAGTTTCTCTTCCACCTAGTTAGTCTAAATTTACGTCATTGCTGTCCGATAACGGGTTGTGATACAATGACCTAGTTCTGTCAAGCAACGTTAAACCCACTCCCATCCACAAGTAGACCTAGCAACAGCGCGAGCGACACAACCAGTACAAAGTGCCAGACAGGGCTACTGTTCTGAACTAAAAAGCTGCAAGTGGGAATGGAGATGTGAAACCCACCAAATCATTCGCATGTATTCAACGCAGAAAGCAACAAAATGAGTGAACATTGCTAAAGTGAGCGGCTCGTGAGCCCACCACATATGTGTTTGTTTGATGATTATTTTTGGGGGGAGTTGAGAGAACTATAAGGTAACCCCAAAACTTGTACTTATTTTCTGCATGGACAAAAACGGTATCCCACATGCAACTCTCAATCTGGTAAAAATTTGCTGTGCATTACAGCTATAAACCGACTTAAATCAACTGCAGTGCTGTCAAACCTTAAATCCACATGGGAAAGGTTAACAGATGCACAAGTACTGGAAACTAACAGTATGCTAGAAAGGACCCTGCATTAAGGGTCCCTTATAGCTTATATAAATTGTTTCTGAATCATATCTGTTGGTTGTAGACAGCAACAAAGACACAGCTAACACTTTAAGTTAGCTGGACTGGGAAGCTATCTATGGATGCAGGGCAGTCTGTCAGCACTATAAAGAAAGACTGTTTATAATGCTGTCCTCCCAATAATAAAAGGCACAATATCACCTGTTTAGCCCCTGAAACCAAAGCTGTTTCCACAGGACATATGACCAAACAAGACTCAAAGCATACATATGTGCCACACTTAAAAGCAAATGCACTTTGATTCAAGCATTGTGCATTAATCGCTTTCAGCTTGGAAGCAGGGCACACTCCTCTTGCGTTCTGCTGCTAACGCGAAAGGAACACTTCCCAGGCATCCCACACCACCTAGTGAACAAGATTCACGGACCCCCCACCCACCCCGAAAAAACAAACCAAAAATATACCACGAGCTGTCAGCAGCACTGTCTTTCTCCCCATCTTCCACAGTTCTGCGATGCATTCAGAAGAGAGAGGGCTTTGCTCTTTGTTAGCCAAGCGACATGTTAGGCACACAGGTAGACTGTGCCTGTTCAACACGCAGCTTCGAGAGCACATGCAGAGTCCAAGGCAGGGCCAATGGAAACTGTAAACAAAGGACCGTGACACCACCTAGGTCAGCGAGAGGGACACGTTTTTACGGAGGGCCGAGACCCGTGAGAAAACCCGAGCCACGCTTTAGCGAGCACACGAACGGGTCCGAAAAATGTTCACGGCAAATAGGTTATATAGCTACCAGTGTCACTCCGCCATGTCCCGCCATCTTGGACAGGCAAGCCAGCCATTAACGTTACTTGTAACGTTTGTCAACTCGTTCACGCGGACACCAAACACACACGCACACACAAATGAGCACAGCAGCCCCCCGAAAGTGTTTTAAATGGGCCAACGCAATGCCATAAAACACCCCAGACTGTGCCAAAGACGAGACGAAATGCAACTGCTACGGGCACCAGCTAACCTTACCAAATAACGTCAGTGGTGCACCCCGAAGAAAGCTACAGCCTTTCCGTTACTCCCACCGATGTTTTCGCGACATACGAGTACCAATGTGTTTGAGGTTGGGTGGGAGGGATATCTTAGCAGCTACAATTACACAATTTCAATGTGACATAAAACTTTACTCATTATAGTGCAGCACCGTTTCCAGTATGTGTTACACAAATCCGTGACGACGTTGTCTTGGTAGTGGTACAAGTACACGGGGCTGTATGGGATAGCTATCCAGCTAAAGGGGAAGGGCGGTTTCCGAAAAAAAAAAGAAAAAGGGAAACATTAACATATGCTAACTTTACGGGCAAATGAAGGGAGCAGTAGCTAGCCGGATACACGGGCGGGCCAGCGAGACGGCGTTAGCCGCAGGTGCAGGGTCGCTGTTCATCGGAAGAGGGTAGCTAACTAGCGAGCTAGCTGCCTGGCTAAGAGGGGCTGCGGCTAGCTGGCCTTGGTCTCCGTAGCGAGAGGGCCACTCAGACTGGCTTGCCACTTGAAAGCAAATTCACCGCCATGCACGACTAATGTCAGATTCAAGAGAGTCCCGTAAACCCGGGTGCTGCTCGGTTGCAAAATACATCCAGTTAGATTCACTACCTTCATCAACAGGGCCTTCGTTCTGGCGCCATCTTCATGAAGCTTCTGAAATCCAAACAGTGAGCTGCAAGCAGAAGACAACACAGGCAGCTCAGTATCACTTGCAGAGCGGCTCGAGGACAATATCGACATGCAAGGCAAAATAAAACAATCAATTTTCAAAGTGTGCGTTCGTGTGAGTGCATGGGTTTACTGTTCCGACCTGTCGATCCCAGCCAAACTATCCCTCTCCTCGGCTGTCAGTGTCGGAAAGTCCTCCTCTGTTTCACTCGCTTTTCCCGCCGCCATTTTCTTTCCCTCATCACCACTAGAAGAAGCCGAGCCGAGACTCCGAGCAGCAGCGCAGGCAGCAGCGGCGAGAGACACACCGCACGATTGCATGGAAAATCGCGACGCGGGGACGAACGGATCGCTCCGCCAAATCAAAGAAGGAAAACTGAAGAGAGCGAAACGATCAAAAACTTTTCTCCGGGATGAAAAGATGCGATTCGATGTAGTAAATCCTTTCGGGGGGGACAGAAGCGCTCTCCGGGTAGCTCCTCAAACGTCACATTTTTCATCACAAAGTGGTATCGTGCAGCTATTTGAATGCAAATAACTGAGTACAATATCCAAGATGTGAGTATTTGACAAATAAAGCGCGTTTCGGCCGCGAAGATAAAGTTGTTATAATTGTGTCACCCAAGCGAACCCACGCGCCGCTCTGGCCACGCCCTCTCCCCCCCTCTCCAGCCAATGGGAGCGCGTGTATACCACCATATGACTTCCCTGCTATACTATTCTTTTATCTGAAATATTCGTGTTCGCTCTGCAAAACCACTAATTTTACAAAAAATACACCCGATAAAATATAAAAAATAAATAAATACAGATTTTTTTACGTGGCTCTCTTGTGCATGAACCATAGCACTGTTTTCCCGACAAATGCTCTAATTTTCACACGCTAAGACATCATCTCATATTCAGTAATACATATTGACACATGGGTGTCAGTTTTCGCTCATAGATTATTTAAAAAGTGACTGCGAAGCATAACTCTTTCCAATCCTGTCAAACCACGTGACTCTTTATGCACCCAACCCTTATTTTTATGACGTCTTCACAGTCAGACTTGCAGAGTTGCTGCATTTTATCAAATAAAGTTGTTAAACTGCTTGAAGCCCAATCAAGCAAAATGAAAGCATTTCAACTGACGTGGCAGCGGCATCATAATGTGGGCGTGGTTTATCTTTGTCAACATCCTGATGACATAACTAGTTTCTCCAAAATGGCGACGGCGGGTGAGAGAGAAGGTTAGTGTTTTGTTTGTTAGAAATGATCGTTGTGCGATCACAATTCGCATTTAAATTCGTTTATTTTTTTTCTCCATGAGCAATAATCGAAAAGGTACAAGGGCTTTATCGTAGCTCATACGTGCTTTTTGGTCTCCGGTAGCAGAACCTTCGCGTCCCGGCTGGAAGCCATTTGACGCTAGCCAGCTAATGTTAGCTTCCAAACTCATTTACATAGAATAAGCACCCTCGGAGCCTGTGGAGGCTGAAGTGCTTTTGCAGTTAGGAGGACTTGAAGATTAAGCTTTGTGTTAATAGGACCACACAGGGTGCAAACATTTCCTGAGCTATTAGAAAATACACCCCGAATGTAAGCGAGGTGTAGCATATGCACATTGTAGCCCTTTAACTTTGTATTTCACTCCAATTTTCATAGCGGGCCAGGACGACCCAGAGAGCGAAGATGAGGTTTATGAGGTTGTGGACCTGACTGAGTATGCCCGGAGGCACCAGTGGTGGAGTAGAGTGTTTGGGAACAATTCCGGCCCCATTGCTGAGAAGTACTCCGTGGCCACTCAGCTCATGATGGGAGGAGTGACTGGATGGTAAGGACTCGGGGTCTGTTCTCACTGGGACATATGTGGATCCAATTGGTGTTTAACACAGTAGCAAATGTTGGGCTATTTTGAACTTGGGACATTAATATGCAGAGAAATAATTAATGTGAGAACACACCGCTTACTTGTAGAGCTGCCATTGCTAAACCAATAAAATGATTGAGAGTATACATTAAAGGAAACTCTGTATGCCTTTACTTATATGTACAATATGTACATATGCTGTTAGAGTGGCAGGTACTGTCTGTGTAGGTTCTTAATCGTCTTTGCCATAGTTTTCTACAGAGCTTGGAAAAAAGAAGGCAAATGGTGGAAAGAGCTGGGTATTTGACCCCACATGAGGTCTCATAGTGGTTTCACCCTTCATTGTACTGACTCGTGCCTTTTCTTTACACTTTGGCTGGAGTCGGATGTCGTTGATCCACAATTGATGACTCGTGCAATCGATAGTGGGGTAACGACCTTCAGGTCCACCTCCAAAGGGGACAAACCCCCACTGGGGGTTAATGGAGCATTCCAGATTAAGCTGGAAGTTGGGATTTCTAAGTTCCCAGTTGGCATTTTCACCTGGAAAGCCCCCTGAACTCAGAGCAGCCGCACCAAACCCGAGTTAACAATCCAAGATGGCAGCACCGAACTGAAGAGTAATGAAACTTTTAATCTCTGCTGCCCCTGTTGTGTATCTGTTTTGTTTTGTGTTTGTTTTTTGTTTCCCACGCTTTTCTGACTTTACTACTGGGATGCACTATCTTGAATTCAGGTTCCTGGAACGCACCATAAACACCCGGGACTCTCCACAGTTTGTTTTTAGAACTTGATGAGTGGTGAAACGTCATAACAAGCCTTAAGAAGTCCAGTATCTCTTTTTTTACACTCTCAAGAGTGGTGGGAGCCACAAACCAATGTGCTCCCAAGTGCTGGCCCCAGTCTGAAATAAATGGCGAGGGTTGCATCAGGAAGAGTATCTGACATAAAATCTTTGTCAAGTTAGATCGTGTGGATCATGAATAATGAGATTCATGGATGTAGTGAAGGAGGACATGCAGAA